ATCTCACTTGCCCTCTCTTCCTATATAAAAATAGATGTGTTTTTATATAATATTATTTATATAAAATGTAGTGTGACAACTCTCATTTTCAGAAAGACATTCTTTAAAAAAAAAAAAAAAAGGCCCAAATAATCACCGTACTGCTTTAAGTCTACTGTTATATGTGCTTTTAAATCCTTCCATGTAAATTCCACTGAAAAATTTGGAAAGCTGTGAAAGGGGAGGGGGTGGCGGGGGTGGGGGGAGGTTAATCCGGGTTTAACGCCGAGATGCCGTCTTAGGACCAGGGTTAGCCTGATTGCCTTATCTCTTCCCAACATTTGAGACGCCCATATTTCACCCAGCCAAATAGCTCCAAGAGCAGCGCAGATGGCTGCCGTGGTCGCGCCTCAGGAAAATGTGTTATTAATATCTAAATAACTTCCCAATACTGTCTGGTAAATCTCCCCTCCACCATTCCAAATGATGAATTCGTTTGAAGTCTTCCCCCAGCCTCATCTTTTCAATGTCCCTCTCTCTCTCTCTCTCTCTCCTCTCTTCTTAGCCAGGCTTATTTCAAACTGGTAAATATCTAATTCCTTTCACCGCTGTGCCGAGCACACGAGTCTTTTAGGTACAAACGCCTCCAAACAGCCGGTGTGTGGAGGTGCATGCCCGGAGGTGAACATAAAACCCGCACGCCTTCGCGGCGGGGGACCTCACCCCATTTAGAAACGCGTTTGGGAGGCTGGGGCTGCGCGGGAACCTCAATCTGGGAGCCCAGCCCTTCCCCTGCAGGTCCTGGGGACCCTCTCCCAGTTCCCCGTGGAGTCCCAAAGGCACCCCCCCAACACGCATCTCTTCCGTGGCTCCTGCCCGCCCCCACCGCACCCCCAGCCCTCCAAAGGCTTCCCTCGATCTCTGGGGCGGATAATTACCCTCCGCTCGCCTGTTCTCCCTTGTTTCAAGTTTGTTTGCTAAATGTCTTCTATTAGATTATGTTCGTTCATTCCCCCTCCAACCTTATCTCCTTCTGTCTCTACTCTCCTTGCCCGTCACACTCGATTTAGGCACGAGTTTATCTGGCAAACAGTTTGCCGACTTTGTTTATTTACCGCGGGTTCCGGGGCTGTGGCGAGTGAGCGAGCGAGCGCCAGTGTTTGCCTTTGTAATACTTATCTCATTGTTGTTCTTCGTTAGTCTCAGCTCCCTCCTTCCCCTCTCTCTTCTTCGGTTGGGGGGATGGAGGGAAGAAAGGGGGAGTCTTGTCGGCCCAGTGTGGGCTCGCCCCCTCTCTGCTCACCCCATCCCCCCACTGCCCGGGCGCGGCAGAGCCCTCGTCCCCCCTCCCTCTCTCCCTCTGGTCTCACTGAATATCCACCACTGAGCGCAGCCTAAAGCCGGGGAATTGCCTGACACCCTCCCATCTTCCTCCGAGCCCCCATTATGCGAAGCTGATCCCACTCTGAACAGCCTCAAATCCCGCCTGGACTCTGTTTGATTAGATTGCCAACCCGGGGTAATCCTTTGATTTGGTGGAGTGTCAATTACCTTTCTCTAAACACACATTTACAGAGGAGGGAACTTGTTGGTTTAAATCAATGCAGATTGTTTCTTGATAAATGGACTATCTCCGTCCCCTCCCTCGCTCCCTCTTCCCAGGCCCCTCTCCCTCTACGCCTCCTCCCCTTCCCTCTGCCGATCTCGCCTATCCGGTAAACAATGCCCCTTCCAGGTGTGAAGCCGGGGGAAAAAAAAAAAACGGTGTGGGCTGAGGGGAGCTGTGCCCCCCTTCCCCTATTCATGCGCTCCCCCGGAGCCTAATTAAATTTGGCAGGTCCTTGTACACACAATCAAAACAGCTTCCTCCAGTGTAGCAAACGACCGAAAACCGCATTAGCAGCTAGCGGCGCTGCCAAATTAAATTGTTTCCCACCTCCTTTTACAAGTGTCTAAAACCGACACTTCGGGCTCTCCCCTCCTTTCCAAGCCTTCTCGGTCATCTCCCACTCCACACCTGTAAGTTTGCTGCTTTAAAAATAAATTAAGGAAAAATGCACAGAAACACAGATCTGCCTCACACACACCACCTTCGGCCCCCACCCCAGATGGTCTTTCATACCCGGGAAGTCGGCAAATTCTTGGATGGACTTTGACAATGGCACTTCTCCCCATAGAGGAAATGCACGCTCTTCTTCTTTTAAATCTTGTGACCCTCCCCCCCTTATTTCATATTAATTGTGACCTCTCTGGGCGTTGTACCCTAGAGACCCAGATGGAGCCCCATGTCTGATCTGGTCAGTTTCAGCCTAAGTTTGTACATTGTCAGATGCATGAGGCTTTGGTGTTCTTATTATTTATTGCCGTTGTTATTGCCTTTTTAAAATTATTATTATTTCTTCACACTGACTCCCTTAGCTCCCGCAGAGAAATGGCTTGACTTTTTGCAAACCCCTATCAAATTCCCCACCAGAGTCTCCCTGGGCTCAAGCTAGGAAAATCTTTTTCTTTCCCATCCGTCCTCAAATCCTTTCCCGGTTGGGTCTCCGGTCTGTCCCCCCTGATTCTCCGAGAAGGGGTGAGGAGAAGAGAGTCCAAGTGGATGAGGGCAAGGAACTGTCCATTTCCCTCTCCAGGTGAGCAGAGCATGGCTGGAACCCCTATCCGCTGTGGTCTGAAATTCTCACAACCAACAATCTTAATAACTCAGTCTTAACAAGGATAAGAGCAAAAAAAAAAAAAAAAAAAATATGAACAGCCTCATGAATATCAGCCCAAGGGGAGCAGGAGTGAGCTGTTCAGAGATGAAAGTGCACAGAAATAAAAGCTCAATTTAATCTGCTTTAAAGCCCTTCAACTTAACGTTTGTGCTTCAAACTCTGAGAGCGAGGACTGATTGCGGATAAATAGTTTCTTACCATGCCTGGGAGCTCTAACACCCTTCTGCAACACAGTTTCCTATTCAGCAGCCCCAGTTTTCATTACCAGCTCTAATAAGTCTTAACATTATTAAATGCCAAGCGGACGATAGGGAAAAACGGACTCAGGGAGGGATCTCTCTTTAGCGCTTAAAGAGGAGAGCTCTTAAACCCCTTCTTGGAAGGCTCCCCGCCATGAGAGGGGCAACCCCCGGAGAAAGCATTCGTCAAGAGCAAGAAACCAAAACAAAGTTTGTGGGTGTGCACCCCTCCCCCTGCTCTGCCCTTTGAGGCATCTCTGCCTCTCCCCACCTGGTCGACTTGGGTGGAGGTTAGGAGGTCTTTTCACTTTTAACTTGGCCGTGAAACTGATGGCTGGGGCCTGGGAGAGAGAGGAGAGGTTCCAGCTGGGTGGTTCACTGGGATGCCTGCCTACTGACCCAGGTACTCAGGGGGCCGATATGTTTTGTCCCCAGAGGGACAGACAACCCTCCCTCATCCCCACTGTCATTCTGCCCATTCCCACCCACGTACAGTCACCCTGCACTTCCACGCAGAACCCCACTTGCACAGAATACGACCCACGGCACAATGATCCAAAGGCACCCGGACAAACAGCCACCCAGAGAGTCCATTCCAGCTCACGGTCCCAGCGTCCGACGTGCCCACTGTCACTCAAAACCTGCCGGGCTCTCTGGATACCAGACCCACGGATTCCATTTCGTTTCTGCAGCTCCTCTCCAGACTCAGCTCCTGTGCTCTCTGCCTCCCCATCTGGAACCTCCAGGCTCCTCCTAAACCCTTGGAGATTTGGAGCTTCCTGGTTCTGCTGCAGGGAAATCCTCTCTCCAGCGAAGCTGCCTGTGAGCCAGTTTCGTAAGCCCTAACCCGCGCCAGAAGCACCCGAACTTCCTGGAGCCAAAGGGATCCCCAAAGCACAGGCTTTCTATCCCTTTCCTCTCCTTTCCTTCTTTCTCAGAAAAGACTTTTGCTTCCTCGCAGACTGAGCTGGACAAACCCCCGCCACACACACACACACACACACGCATACGCACATGCACGCACGCACACACACCCCCCCCCTAAAGTCTCTCCAAATAAAACCAAACCTCCTTCTGCCTCTCCCCGGTACTTCTCAGAAACGGTGTCTGCTGTGTGGTATTTCTCCAGGAAAGATCATTTCAAGTTCAATGTGCCCCACCCCACAAAAAAGAAGTCCAACCAAGTCCCTTTCGGATACAAACTGAAGTCAGAGTGGGTCCCCCCGCAGGGGTCCCAGGGCTCTGGGCTGCCTCCGCCAAGCCTGGGGCTCCTCAGCAGCACAGGGGCACTTCTCACTGCAGACCCGAGGCTCCGAGGCCGGCCCGGCACAGCGGGGTGCCAGGCACAGCTCGCTTGCTTTCATCCCTCGCCCTTTTGTCCCTGGCGGGACAGGGCTCCACTTGGGGCCCTGAATGTCAGTAGCCCGCCCCTTCCCCAGCTCTAGGCTGCTCTCTCAAAGGGGCTGCCCCTGCCCCTCCTCCCACCTTCCCCCTCAACCAGGCCTGTGGGGGCTGGGCCTTCCTGGGTGTTGTCTTTGGAAGCGGGCTTTGTCTGTGAAGTTCATCTTCAAGGTTGGGAGAGACTACTGACAACTGGAGAGAGAGACCTGGGCGAGGAGTTCACGGGAGGCAAGGAGAGGGGTACCCTGAGACACCTCTGGAAAGAAATTCAAGCCACATGTGCTCTTTACAAGTTTCCAGGTTTGGGGAACTCCCCCACTTTTTTCCAAAGCGACTGCTTTGCAGGTTTGCATGACCACTGTCTTTCCTGTCTGCCGTCTGCCTCCCGGCATGCCCGTTTGTGAGCTCGCTTCTTTTCCCCAGCCAGTCTTTGTGACTCTGGGCCTTCTGTTTCTGTTTCTCACTCTCCCTCCCTCACTTAAGGCACGCGTACCAAGTCTCAAAGAGAACTTCAAGGGGAGGAGATAATGAGGAAGACTTTCCCTTCTCCCGAAACTTCCCCTGCCAATAAATACAAGCACACTCCCCTTCCCCGGGTGTGCAGGCGCTTGGAAGATAAACGCCTTCCCTAGCAGACCGGAGAAAAAGCCGGGCGCAAGGCTCAGACTCCAGCCGGCGGGGCAGCGGCGCTGCAAGGGGGGAGAGGGTGGGTGCAGTCGGAAGCTTCCTCCCCGCCTGAGATCCTCCGATCCTGGGCGTTGGGGAACTTGGTCTCAACAACTGGCCCCGCCAGAGACAAGCGTCTGACTGGTGCACCCATCTGCACCCACCCGCCACGCTCTCGGTTCGGGCCCTGGCAACAAGGGGCTGAGGGTTAGGCGGCGGGCCTCGCTAATTTTTATTGATTGCAGCGGTCAGTCAACTGTCAGGCAGGGTTTCAAGGGACCGTTTAGAGAGCGTGTGCGGGTCTGGTTAACAAATTCATTTAGGGAGCCGCAGGCCGGCTCCTCCTTCCTCGCCCCCCGCCCCCTTGTCCAAACGTCCTATAAATAATAGATCCACACCGGGACTGGGACTAGCCGCCAAAACGCGGGCCCCGCAGGGCGCACGCCCCGGAGTGCCCGGCCAGGCCTTGCGCGCGGGGTCTTGCGCTCAGCGGCGCGCAGTGCACCAACCTGCAGCCGGCTCCCCGGGGACGCCAAGGCCGTCTGCCCCCGGGCTCCGCGCTCTGCCCTAGTCCGGGGCGCACTGAGGGGGCGCCCTCCGCAAACCCCGAGGGACTCCCGGCTCCCCCCGGGGCTGCGAGTCCGCCCGCTAAAGTGCTGTCGCTAGCCTTGAGCGGCAGAAGCCAACCACTGGCCCGCACCCTCGCACGTGGGGATGCGGGGTTCGGCGGTGGAGGCCCCCCCTCGGAGGTTCCCTACCTTTGTCGCCCAGGATGCCGTCGATGCTGTGCTTGGCTTTCTTCTCGCCGTCGTCCTCCTTCTTGTCCGCTTCATCCTCCTCCTCTTTCTTCCCGAACTTGATTCTGAGCACGCGGCTAATCGAACTCACTAAACCTCAGAAATTCAAAGGCAAAAGAGCAAGTATAAGTTGTTGGGGCATTGGAGCCGGGCGACCTGGGCCCCCAGGAGAAAGCGACGCAGTCCGTCCTGCAACACACTGCAAGGGGATTCACACCCACTGACACCCCCCCCCCCCCATTTAAGCGTTTACATCCAAGTACAGTCGCTGGCTAGGGAAGCTGACTCCCCTGGGACACTCTCACGGTGGCATTCCTATACTCCTCCTTGCACACACTTGTGCCTGACACGGTCACATCCCCTAGATACATTCACACCCACACCCACTTCCCCAGGACCTTGCCAGAGGCCCTCCAGCCGCTGTGGCTGCCACCTCTACACCCAGGTGTGTGTCCCCTCGCTGCGGGTGGAGGCCTCCATGTTTGGGAGGCACTGCTGGCTGGTGGCACTGACAGAACAGAAAGAGTGACTTGGGGAAAGGGGTCCAGGGAGCCCATGGAGATCAACCCTCCTAGGACGGACCCATCTCTCTAGGCCACTTCTCTGAGAAAGAAAGCCTCCAGGGAGCTCCTGTTACCACCCAGCCTTACAGGATAACTTTTTGCTCCGTTTGTGCCTCCTTCTGTCCCTCCTTCCTTCCCTCCTTCCTCCTCTCTTTCTTCTTTCTCCTCTCTCTCTCTTTCCTAATTTTCTCTCTTTTCTTTGCTCCTTCTGTCCATCCATCTTCCTTTCGGTTTTGATTCCCTCCTTTGCCCTAACTCTTCATTCCTGCTCCCCTTCCTCACAACTCTCCTTGGAGTTCCCCATCATTCATCACCTTCCATCCTGTCCTGTCCCGCCTTCAGCCCCGTTCAGCCGGCACCGGGCCAGACTGTGCTTGGCCGGCTCAGCTGCCTTCTCACCTGAGGGCACGGTGCTGCGGTCACAGTGTCCGTCCTTCAGCAGCCTGTCTCGGATCTCCCAGCTGAACATGCCTGGGTTTTCCCTCTTGTACTCCTCGATCTTTTTCTCCACATCCGGAGTCGCCACCTGCTTCAGAGGTGGAGGTGGGAGAGCAGGAGTGGAAAGATGGGGTTGGGGGAGGGAGACACTTTTAATATCAAACTCCCAAGAGCCCCAGGCCAGGCTGGTGGCTCTGGTTCCCATGTCCCTCCCCCTTCCCCCCTTCTGAGACTGGCTTTACCCTTTCACAAAACCTGTGCCTGGCTCCAAGGAAGGCAGCCAGGTGCATAGGGTAGTCATAGGTAATAAGAGAGAACCTAATTAGGACCCTTGGGAATCCCCCCCGCCACCGCCCCACTCACTATTTCAGGCAAGACTGAGGGGGGAGATTTCCCTTAGTCTGGGATGATGCTGGGGGTCGGGGCAGATGTAGGGGCAGCCCAGGGATGACTCATTGGCCTCAAAGTCCTGGGCAACCTGGAACCTCCGTTATCTTATCCCCTAGAAATCCTAATAATGAGAGGGACATCTGGGGGTGAGGACACCCTCTTCCTGTACTTTCCATAGGAAGCATTTGGACACCCCAGTGGTGTTGGATGACACAAGGTAGTGAGAGGGGCCACAACCAGGATCCCCCAACCGTGGGAAGGCCGGCTGCCAGCTCTGCAGCAAAGACACTCACTCTGGGCTTGCTGCCGCCGATGGCCCCAGGCCGGATGGACCCAGTCTCCTGGTAGCGGCAGAGAATCTTGGAGACGCAGCCGTGGGACACACGCAGCTGACGGGAGATGACACAGGGCCGGATGCCATGGTGGGCCATCTCCACGATCTTGTGGCGGATGTGGTTAGGCAGGGGTCGCCCGTTGATGAAGACCCCACCAAGCTGATTGACCCGGCCTTGGCCAAGTGGTGTGGACACTGGAGGAGGGAGGGGAGACCAGGAAGGAGAGAGGCACAGGGTGAGGATGGGGAGGAGACAGCGAGCACACCCCTTGACTCCAGTTTTGTTGGAGCCCAAGAGCCCTGACAGAGGGACTGTGAGTTCCCCACATTTGGAGGTGCGGCAGTTCAGAGGTCAGGAAAAAACTGTCAGAAAGCTGAGAGAGGGTCCTGGAAGGATGGAGAGAAAAGTCACAGCTGGCTGCTACAGTCCCCCAGATGCCGTGTGCCCCCATTCCTGCCACACTATGGGGAATGAGGACACACTGGAGAGGGATCTGATGCTTCTGAGAACGGGGAGGGAGAGGGCAGAGCCAAGAGGCTGATGGAGTCTCATCTCCGGAGTCTGTGGGACCAGGGGCTCGGTCCCCCAGGATGCAGTTTGGGCCACAGGTCTGCCTGTCTCTTCGGGAGGCCGATTGCAGGCGAGATGTGGCCCCTCTCTCTGCTCAGTTCCATGCCCTAAGTGGTCAAGACTGATCCATTTTGGGGGGAGCCAGAAGAGGCTGGTTAATTACCAGTATTTACAGCCCTGGCCTGGGCAGCAGATCTGTCCTACTTATAATTGAACAGCCGAGGGACTGGTGACACGAAGCTGTTGGTCACTGCCTCTGGGGTCACCTGGCTGTCCCTTGAGGGACTCTCCTTGCTTCCAACCCCTCTCAAAGTTCTAATTTCGTTTTGGGGCGATTTGGGGGAGACGCTCCGCTGTCAGCGAGCTCCCATATCAAATACCTATTTGGCTTCAGAAATCCAAGATCTGTCCCTGCAGGCTCTGTGAGGGTGGTACACAGAGGGGCCAGAGTCTCTCAGTGTGAGTGACTTTGGGAACCAGGGAGACAGACACCCCTGCTGTATTGCTGCGGAGGGGAGAGCTCCTTGGAGGCCTTAATGCAAAGTCTACACAATTTCCTCGCAGAAGGTTGGGGGACACCCGGTGCACTAATCCGGCCTCCATCCCCCCAATTTGGGGACCAGGCGGCTGCAGCGATCGGGCAGATTAGAACGATTTCACAGACGCGGGAGTGGAGGGAGCTGCCAGTATAATTGGAAGGGAGGAGGCGAGAAGGGGCTCGGCTGCCGAGCGGTTCCTGCCGCCTCCTCCCTCGCGCTCCCGGCCCCCCCACCTCTCTTTGTAAAAGTAGGTGTCTGAAGCCACCCTCGGATTTAATCAGAAATCGTGCGTCGCCAAGTCAGAGTCACTCAGTCTCCGTGGCGGGATATGCCATTAGCGCTCGAGAGCCCTCGAGCGCCCAACTTTATATTCAAGAGCCTCTTTAGCGACCGGCGCTCGGCTCTCCTCAGTATTCTCCGTCATGTTGGGCAAATATTGTTCTAATCCGCCGCGCGTCCTCGGCCGCCTGTTTTACTTGCATTCGCTACAGGAGAGCGCTACGGCAAATCCCCGGGCTTGCGCGCTCCCCCGCCTGCGTGGTTGCTCGCGCGCACTTGATCACGAAGCCACTCTCTTCGCCTCTGCCTAATTCAGGGACCCGCGCCATCCCGCTGCCAGACGGACCCCCCCCTCCCTGGATCGCAGGCTGCCCGCCCGTCCATCCCCTCCCCGCCTCCTTTCCCCTTCCTCACGCACAAGGGGCTCAGACAATTACAAGAAGAGTAATTAAAAAATGAAAGTGGCACCTATCTCTCACCACTCCTGTATGACCCCCTGGGCTACCCACCCCCAGAAACCCAGTGATCCCTCGGTTGACAGGTCGAAGGCCTTCCACGAGTTTAAAAACAAAACAAAACAAAAACGCAGGAAAGGGTCTTGGCAGCGCGCTCCCATCCTTTCCTCCAGCCGGGAACCCGTCCCCTGCCGGTCGCCTCTGCTCACCCCGGTGCTGGGTTTTGACCGAGGACACATTAGAGAATTCACGTTTTCCCCCTGTCTGGACACCGCGGGGCCCGCTCACGGTCCCGAGGGTCTCTCCCAGGAGAGCTGCAGAGTTCCGAAGCCCAAGTGAAAAGTTTTGGGGGGAAAATCGTTACTATTTATTATTTCAAGTTACTTTGTTTCCAAACCAAAAGGCAGGAGTTTCTGTCTGGTGCTTTGGAAGAAGCGGATAGCCTTCTTAGCTGAGACATATAAACTACCCCACATCGCTGGTATTTCGAAATAAAAGGGATTGGAGGACCATTCGAGGAGTGCAAAAAGGAACAGTTCGAAACGAGAGTAGAAAGCGCTGTAGCCGGCGAACGCAGAGAGCTGAGAAAGTATCTGCGGGGAAAGCATCTGAAAATAGTGGAAACGAACTGAAATTCGCTAGGACTTGAAATTTGCTAGGGGCCGAAAGCGGCCGGGAGCTCGCCCTGCGGGGAAGGCCAGAGCCCGCGACCTGTGAAGCCGCGGCCGCCGGTCACTGAAAGCCGCGCAAAAACGGACAGGCGTCGGCCCCTGGAAACTTCCGGGGGTCCAGCGCCCGGACTCGGTCCCCAGAAGAGAAGGGGACCCCTCCTCCTCCCCTCCCGCTGCCGCTGGCGCCGCCACCCCCTGGGGATCGCTGCCTCTCCCAGGACCTCGGGTTCCGGGCGGAGGAGCGGAGGCGCGGCGAGCCAGGCGCTCTTACCTTCCAGAGGAAACCCCGTGCGGGGATAGTTCTGTCCGGGAGCCGGCCGCATCATCCTCGGTACGGTGCCGGGAAGGGCCGCCATTCTTGCGCACGCCGGGGACGAATCCAGAGTCGGCAAAAATCGCCTCCCGTCCGCTCCCTTTACCCCTGCTGCGATCTCTTTCTTTCCTTCTTCTTCCACTTCTCTTTTTTTAACCTCTTCCCCCTCCTCCCCTCTACACACGCTCCCTACCCGCACCCCCCCACCCCCGGCTGCGGGCGAACGCGTCCAGAAGCTGGGGAGGGGGGCGAGGTGGGGGCGGAGGCTGGGGGGAGGGAAGGTGGTGACAAGGAAGTTCAAACAAACAAACACAGCCACCCCAAGTCCGCCTCTGCCCGCTCCGCTCGGCCAGAAGTTGTGCGGGCGGATGCGCCGGGCGGAACCGGGAGGCGAGGCCGGGCTGCCGAGCGGGGCTGGGGGTGGCGTCCGACTGGCAGCCGCGCGCTCCCGCGCTCCGGGCCAAAGTTTCTGCGCCGAGAGGCTGGCGAGTGGATTCTCTTTCGTATTTATTTATATATTTATTCTCGCGCTCGCTCGCGCGCGCGCTCGCTCCCTCCCCGCACTCCTCTCCACGCCTTTCTCCAGCCCACACTCCCGACTCCCTCTCGCACCGGCTTTCACACCCCGCCCCCCACCAGGCTTGCGGAGGGAAGGCGGTGGCTCCTGAGTTTCGGGGCTTGAAGGGAGGCGACAGGGGGTGACGGGGTTGGGAAGAGAAGAGGGCGAGCAAGGGGGAGAGTGATCCGCTGGGTAAGTTGTGCAAAAGTGCTCAACGGGAGTACGAGGAGGAGGGGGGGAGGCAGCGAACGAGATCTGATAGGTTCGGACTTTTCTTTTATTCATGAGGAGGGAAGGGGGCCAGGGCGGAAGGGAGCCGAGGACCAATAACGAAAAGAAATCGCCAACGAATATATTTTTTTCTCTTTTCTAATCCCCGGGTCGACCTCGTTTTTGGGGGAGAATTTGAACCGCCCGTTAACACATAGGGAGCAAGGCGCGGGGGCTGGGGGGGGGGCGCAGAAGGGGAGGGGGCAACTTTGTGCAAGTGTCTTCTTTTGACGAATGGGCCAGATCGGCCGAGTGCCCGGCCCCCTGGTCGCCCGCCGCCCCTCTCGGCGTCCCGGCTGCTTGGGAATGTCTGCCTCCGGTTGGTGGCTCCTCTGGATTCTCGCCTTTTCTCTGGCCTCCCAGGGTCAGAGTCGGCTGACTGCACATCTCCTTCATCTCACTCACACACTCCGAAATTTCCGCCAGTAGGGCACATGGGGAACTGGCCTAGGGTGACTTCAAGGAATGGGTTTATGACTTTCTCTGTGAAATGATGTCTCAGCCCCCGTGTCCAGTTCTTGCCCAGCTTCCTGCAGCTCTGAAAAGCCCAGAGTGCTTAGAAAACTGAGTGTGCCAAATGTTAGGGACTATCTCTTCTTCCCTCCTCTTCCCCTTCCCCTCACCCATCTCCAGCCAGGTTTAAACTCCTCTTCCTCTTCAGGCCCCCTGGCCACAACCCAGAACCCCTTTCCAGCAGGCAGTCCACTGCCCTGAGGCTGACAGCAAGTGGGTGCCCAGGATCTGGGAGGGAGGCGGGTCAGGACTGGGTTCCACCTTCAGCCCATCAATTCTGAGCTCCTCCGCTCAGAATTTAGAGGCGGGAGGTGTCCCAATTAAAGGGTCAGAAGGGGGGGGTGGTGATCAGAGGTCCTGCAATTCTGCGCTCTCCCCTGCCCGAGTGACCAGACGCCCCTGCCCCAGGACACGAGTCCCGGGGGCGAAACGCCCTCCCAGCGGGGCAGGACGCCAGGACAGCAGGCCTTTTGTCTCCCCCGGGAAAGAGTGTCTCCGGCCCAGCACTGGAGGCAAAATACAATAAAATAAACCCAGCCCTCCATCTCGGCCCCCACCCCGCAGCCCGCCCCCTGCCCGCCCTCTCCCGGTCCTGGGGTCAGCCTTGTCTTGGCCTGGGGGGCTCTTCTCGGGCTGGCCCTAGTGTGCCCCCCTGCCCTCCCCTTTTCCTCACCTGTGACCTTTGCCCCTCTCAGCATGTGACAGACACCCTCCTCTCCCTCTCTCCCAGCAAAGGGGCTCATCAGGCTCTTGGCGGGGAGGCGCTCTGGGAATGGGGGCTTACGGAAAAGCAGTTAAACCCACACCCTCTGGTGGCTCCAGAATTGAGGGGGGTCCAAGTCGCTTTGGAATTGGAAAGGGGGACACCAGGGTGCCTTGCCCAGGTCAGGGTGCCAGGCTGCCTGAGTTATAGGGGCCCTACAAGGTTTTCTGGGCCCCCTTCTTCATTGGAGGTGTACCCCACCATACCCACAGCCCCTGAGAGAGGGACAGGGAGATGCAGTTTGAAGCCTCAGTGTGTGTATCTGGGGAAAATGAATTAGATTTGGGCCCCTTTACTTCGTGTCTTGCTGGAGGGTCTGGCCTGCCTTGACTTCCAGAGGTGGCTATGTATTATATATATATGTATGTATATTACAGATAAACACAGATAGGCACACAATACACACACACACACACACACATATACACGTATATATTACAAAATATCCACTCACTCACTCATTCATTCATCAGTATTGTCCGTCCTGGCTTGGAGGGATGTAAGGCACAGATTCTCTGTATTTGTGGGTGGACCCCGGAGCGTCTTTGCCTGTGTCTGGGTGAAGGTGGGTTTGTGTGTAGGTCTCCTGTAGGCCGTCTGAGTAGCTCTGTGTTTCTAAGGGAGGGTCTGTGTTTATGTTTTGGGGTCGCTTCCATGCTGCCTTGGCTCAGCGCAGTCAGGAAGGTGTAAATGTTTGTTTCGGTCAGTTCCCGGGGCCAGGAAAGACCTCTGGGGTGTGCCAGCATGGACCCTGGAGCCTTCAGTCTCTCCTTGCTGACTGGGGAGAGCTCAGCCCCACCCCTCGGTTCAGGGCCCCCCAGTTGGCCGAGGCTGGGGACATTGAGCCCCAGGCATCTCTCGCGGGGCTCCACCTAACCTGTCGCCTGGTTCCCACCGTGCCCTGCAGAGGGCCCAGCAGAGGGTCCAGTTGCCAGGGAGGCCCCGAGCAGGTTCCCCTAAACTCTCTGCTGGAGGCACCAACCCTGAGTTTTTGCAGCTTGGGGATTCCGTGGGCTCCCGCGGGGGCAGACGGAGGGGGAAGAAGGGGGGTGTCTGTCGGAATGAGCGTGGCTGTTCTCGCCTGTTGGAGACCAATTTCACAAATGATTTTTGCAACAATTAAGAAGTGTGGCGGGGTGAAATGGCGATTTCACATCCAGTGGGGGAAAGGGGGGTTCACCTGGGAACTGGGGCGGCTGCAGCTGGAGGTGGGGAAAAAATCTTTCCCTCTCCTCTCAGCTCCTCATGGCTAACCCCCTTGCCCAAATTCACTCCCCACACAGACATTCATCAACTCCTAAGACCTCCAGCTGCTACTGTAAGCGCTGAAGGGCTCAGGTCTGCATTGTGTGTGTTAGGCTGGACTTGGCCTGGAAAGTTTCCCTTCAGCCCCTCACCCTAATCTCTGTCTCTCTCCCTGCTTCTTCCTCCTTCCCTCTTCTCTCTCCGTCTTGGTCTGTGTGTCTCTCTCTGTCTCTGTGTCTTATGTGCATGCACGCATGCATACACACACACACACACACACACACTTTTCTGTCTCGTGGGCCCCTCCATCTCTTTTTTGTCCCCACCGCCTTTGACGCCTTGCCTTTCTGACTTCTCCTCAGTGTTTTCCTCTCTCAATCTGTTCATCGTGGCCACCACCTCCTACCTCCATGGTGTCCTGAAGCATGTAGGGACTTCCATCGCACGCACCAGGCTATACCTCAGACCTGTTTCCTGGGAAAGCCCTTTCTTTGGTCCAGATGGGGTTGGGCAAAGACTTTCCAGAAGGGTCGCTCCTCTGCTTTGCATCTACTTGGGGCTATCTCTAAAGGAACATCTCCAGGCCCAGCCCACCTGATTCTAGCACCCCCTCCCTCTAGAAAGTACTCTTGTATTCCCTCTCTCTGGCTTGGGTAACTGATCCCTACCTCCACCTCTCCCTGTCCCATCTGAGTTCCTTGTCTGTCCCCCACCTCCTGCCTGCCACACTTCCTTTTAAGGGCAACAACAATGTTCCTAGGAATTCCTCCTCCCAAGTTCCCCAAATGAGCCTTCCCAATGGGAAAGAGAGACCTACGCCCAAGGATCAGGAGCAAGAAGCCAGGTTGACATCAGGGGGGAAGCTGGCCTTTCTCTGGCTGCTCCCGCCCTAGACTGTGAATTGATGGGTCCAACGGGTAAGAGACTGAGGGCCACAACTGGGGCTTCCTTGTCCCTGCCCCCAGTGGCCAGTGGCCTGTTCCCCCAGGCCAAGGGAGAGGACGCTCTTTTTATTTTAGATCCCTGTGCAATGAGCACTTTCTGAAAGCGATTACCCAATGAATCTCCCTTTAAAGGGTGATAAATCCACCTTGAAAACCAGGGGTTTTGATTTCGGCAGGCCTTTTGCGTTTTCAGAGGCTCTGGCCAAAGATGTCAACAAATGGAATTATTCAGTCTTCAAATGTTTGGTAATGAGAGAGGAGGGGGTGGGCGTAGGGGTAGGGAGAGAAATGGAATATCCATGAACAAAAGACCTTCTGGAGGCTCCCTCGGGTTCCGGAAGCTGGAATTCCTCAGTGCCGCCTATGAAGGGGCACCCTTGAAAAAGAATACCTTTCCCCCACTCCCGCAATCTTCTATTATGATTTCTCTCATAAGAAGTCCCACTCTTGGAAGAGCGACCTTGAAATATCTGTCCAAACCAGAATAGGAATGGGAGGGAAACTGGGACATTTTCTGGCTTGACATTTTCCTTTGCCCCAGAAAAATAGAACAGTACCAAAATAGTACATGTTGGAGTCCAGTTCCCAAGGTAAATAACAACAATAATAGTAATAGGCTTCTCCCAGGCCCACCTCTTCATAGGATCTGGGTGAGCCTCTTTCTGCCCTTCTTCCTGGCCTTCCTCCACCCTCCTCCCCTCCCCTCTCCTCCTCTTCTCTTTGCCTCATCTTCCTCCTCTTCTTCCTCC